AAAAAATATAAGTACCAATTGTAATTAAGGCGAACGGTGGTAATAGTAGTGAACGGCAGTGGTGGTGGTGGGATAGTTGTGAGTGGTGGTAGGGTGGCGACAACGATGATGATAGTAGTGGTGGGGCGATAGGAATGGTGGTGGTGGTGGTGGTGGTGGCGGGTGTGATAGTAGTGGTGGCGTGGTGACAATGGTAACGGTTGTTGAAGGTAAGGTGGTGCCGACAGTGGTAGTAGTCGTGGTGGTGTAGTGATGGTGATGAGGCAGTTTCAAATACTTCTTCTTCTTTTTTCAAGTACTTAAGAAAATTATAAATTCTACAAGTACTTTTAAAAGTTATCTCAAACACACTTTTATGGCTTTATTTTTCATATTAATTTTGGAATGTTAATATTAGACGTTTGATTAATTTTAAAGTAAAATTTAAATATATCGCAACCGCGAAAAGCAAAAATCATTTTGTTTATCTTTTAAAATTTGAATCGTATTGTACTTTATTATATACATAATTTGTAACTATAATATTTTTTTTTATTTGGCTTGTCACTTTTGATTTTGAAAATCATAAAGTACAATGAAATAATAAAATTAAAAAATTCTACCCATGTATGGTTTCATTGATGGATAAAGAGTTACAACATTGAAAAATTAAGTTTTCAGTATCATAATCAGACCATGTTACCCAAATCAAGCCAACATTTACATAGCGATCATGTAACACTTTTTTATAGAATTAATCTAGTTTTCTTAATCAATGTAAGAACATCGTATAGGTAGGTCAGAAAAAAATATCGAAAGGGTGAGACTTAAAACACACACTATTCACCTAGTAAGAACATCCCTTATCACCTTAAAATCAATGTTTTTTTTTTTCCAATAAAATCTATAAAAAAAAATTACACTACATTTGTCACTTAATCGTTTAGACCCCTTATATTTAAAATATTATACATAAATTCTCTAAAATTTGTATGCACGTAACACTTAGACCTCTACCGTAAATGTCGATTAATATATCTATTAGTAAATTACACACGAACTCCCTAAAGTTTGTAAACGTGTGATACTTAAACCTCTTAAGTTTAAAACATTACACTAAGATCCGTTATTAGTTAATGAACTAACGGAATTTATTAAACGACCAAATTACCCCAGTTAAAAATAAGAGATATTAAGTTTATTATAGTTTGACTCTATGTTTATTCCAATAAACAATATAATTGTATGAATATGAGTGCTGAATTTAGCTCTTTAATATATTTATACTAATTATTATTTTTTTTCTCAAAAATTTGGAATTTTGTTTGATTTTTATGTTAATGAATGATATAATGGAACATGCAAATGTATTGATTAGGCTTATTTATATGTTCATACTTGATGATAAAAAAATTGATCCATGTGAAGAGTTCAGTTAGTTAAAATCCAACCCATCATGTCAAGAGTTTTAATTTGAATAAGATTTTACATATCGTGTATATATTAAATTTAAAAGCACAGATAACATCAAATTAACGTATAAAAATAAGAACTACTAGATCTTCAATCAATATTCATATTCAATTCAAATTGTCTAAACTCCTACAAATAGAGCTCCATTAATGCTCTAGGTATGCTACTCCTAATTTCTAAATGCAGTCACTGACTTAGGCATTGGAGAGTCGAGATCCTCTCTAGACTCCAACTTCTTTTTCAATTGATCGAAACCCAACAAACTGATATGAAGATCGTTCAAATTTTGACATCAACAATATTAATTATAATTTTTTTAAGAAAATTTGAATTTTTAATTTTATTTCAATAAATGAATAATAAAAAATTAATTTTGGTTATAAAAACTAAACTACTTGATATTATATCTTTAATTGAAGTTTTTTTTTTTCGCTTCAAATTTTAAAGATATGAATGTAATTTATTAATAGATATACTAATGGACATTGATGCTTGAGTCTATATGTTATGCGCATATAAATTTCAAGGTATTTATATGTAATATTTTAAATATCAAGAAATCTAGGTAATTAAATGAGAAACTTTAGAGAATTTGAGTGTAATTTTTTCAAATCAGTACTATCAACCGACAAAGTTTGGACAAAAATTGATTATGTCCCCACTATAATATTCAAAATCAATGCTTCTTCTTTACCATAAATTCCACCACCCATTAAGAGGAAAGCTTCCTTGCAATTTCAAACAATCATCTTGTTGTAGTGTTCTTCTTACTTATGCTCAAAATTTGAAAATGTTCATATATAGATATTTAGTGAAATTGACCAACTATACAAAAGTAACTAGATATCGTTGTAGACTTGCAGTGTTCTTCTTACGAATCTTGCTATTCAAACAACCTTGTTTTCTTTTTTTTTTTTTTTTTCAAAATAAGTATAATTCAAGAAAACAATTTCAATGGAAAAGAAAACATATAAATGTTGCTATATGACAAGCCAAAAAAAATTGATTGGCTGTAATTAGCATTGACTCATTAGAAAAAAGCACATCAATACTTGTTCAACTGCAGAAAATGAAGTCACACTATTTGCGATTATCAATCTCTTAATATTATTCCCATCATTTTATCCCAATAATTATAGTGTGCATGTAGAGTAAAAAATTATGTGTTTGAAGATCAATTATTACACGATACAATTAAAAAATTACATTTGGTCCAATATTATACGGATGATTTAACTCCTCTCTAATTTGAACATAGGTCGTTTTGTTTTATTTTTATTATTATTATTATTTTACATGGTAAGAATTTGTATACATCCTAGTTAAATATAGTTAATTTTACAAAAAAAAAAACAAAAAACAAAAACCAAAATGATTTATTTATTCTTTTGAACAAGCAAATTATTGGTGTGAATCCTCCGAGCCTTTTGTACATGGGAGAATGTTTGGATGAGTATATATGACAATTTTAAAATAAAATTGTTAAATTTTCTATCAAACTATAACACTTTATAAAAAGTCAGGCTAATAATCCCGCTTTTAAATAAGGGTGTGATCAAAGCCACATAAACGATCTCCAAAGAAAACATCGAATATGTAAGAACTTAGGAGTGAGGTTGCTGTCCCACTTTTCTCACTTTTTTTAAAAAAGTGGAGTTACTTTTTAAAAAAAAATTGTATTTTAATAAATAAGAAAAATTTCAATCACACCCCTTCTAATTTATTATATCTTTTTAAAGACACCCCTCTAATATCACAAACATCATTGACATCTCTTATAATTTATATTTAAACATCATCGACACCCTTGTCATTAAACCACCATTTTTATAAAAAAAATTCATCTAAAATACAAAAAATGCCCCCACATAAATCTCAAACAATTTTTCTATATAAAATTTGATTAACACCTTTAATTTGCATTCTATTAACACCTTTAATTTGATAGAGAGTGTTAGTGAAGATTATCAATGGACTTTTAGTCCAATGATACTTTTTACCTTATGAAGATTTTACCTTTTTAAGGTCAAGGGATCAAGTCTCCTCCCCTCCCCTTCCCCCTCAAAAAAAAAAAGGAGTGTCAATAAAGATTCATAAAATAGAGGGGGCATATTTGAAGGTACAATAAATTAGAAGGGGTGTGGTTGAAAATTTTCCCCAGTCTAAATCTCAATTTATACCCCCAAAGATAAAAAAATCTCAATATGTACCTCCAAAGATAAAAAATTTTAATTTGTACCCTCAAAGATATTGTATCAATGTGCACCTAAAACTAACTGTCGTCAGTTTGCTGCTTAAAATTAAATTGATAAATTATATCTAGATCCTCTCATGTTTGTCACTTAATCATTTGAACCCCTTCACAAACAAATAGTAATATAAAATTATAATTTTTTATTAGGATAAAATCACATTTTTAACGGCTATAAAATCCTAATAAAAATACTCTCAATTTAAAATGTCCCATCCAATTGGCCATTCAAATAATTATTTTTAGGTGATATATTACATTGCATATAAAAAAAATATTATATAAATATCTACATTCTATTGGACATTCAAATGATAAGTTTGATTTTAAACTTTAGAATATATTGGACTCACAAAATAAAGGGTAATATGAAATTATAATTTTTTATTAGGATAAAATCATATTTTTTAACAGTTATATTTACAGATATCAACGAAAAAGGGTTACATGTTATACATGCACAAACGTCGTGAGATATATGAGTAATAATGTGAAGGGGTCCAAATGATTAAATGACAAGTATGAGGGGAACTAGGTATAATTTAGCAATTTAATTGACGGTTAGTTTTAGGGGCACATTGATACAAATTTCTATATTTGATGGTGCAAATTAAGATTTTTGATCTTTGGGAGTGCACATTGATACAAATTTTTATTTTGAGGGTGCAAATTAAAATTTTTGATCTTTGAGAATATAAATTGAGATTCGAACGATTTTTCAGAGTGTTATCTACAGGTAACCCTTTTGTTTATTGCACCGGAGGTTTTCAAATGGTTTGTCTCATTTTGGTCTCAAAATATTTCAATTTCATAATTTTAATCTTGGAAGTATTAAATATATTTTCATGTAGTTTCTCAAACAAATATCGGTGAGATTGTTAATGATTTTTGATTATAAATTATCACATAATATCTAAATATAGGCAAAAAAATAATTTAAATAATTTTTGACCAAATTTTTACTCAAAACTTTGTCAAAGAGTTACCCAAATTACACGGTTATAATCATAAGGTATTTAAATTTTGGTAAAAGCTATTCAAATTATTTTTTGCGATAAAAATTCGTTAACAAATTTGAATATTTTATGCTCGAGGATAATATATAAAAATATTCAATATTGCCGAGTAAGAGGACCAAAATAGCCTCCCAAATAAACACACCACAATCGAGGGCTCCACTGGCTCTCTTTGTTGTGTGAAGGGTAGAAATGTAAAATTGGAACAACTACTACATATCGGATGCCTGGTCGCGAGGGTTTTGGCTGCAGAGTCACAGAGGTCGTAGAGCTTTCACAAAATGGGTAGCGCCGTAGCCGAGAAGACGGAGGAAGAGCTCCGGAAAGAGATCGAAGAGCTCCAGCGCCAAGAGCAGGAGGTTCCCTCTCTCCTCCTATATATGTGTATATATATATATATTTTTTTTTTTTCTGTATTCGTACATAGATGTATATCTGTATTTCTTTGTCGAGTGTTTGATCGTTTCTTTCACCGACCCAGATTGCAGAGAGGCTTCGTCCTCGTAGGGGTATTCGCCGGGGAGGCTTTTTGGGCCCTGGTCCTCGGAATTTCGCTGTCAATGGCAATCGCCAGCGCGGCTTTGTTCGACCCGTACTCTCTCTCTCTCTCTCTCTCTCACACACACACACACACACACACATGCACGCTTTAACTATTTGCATGTGTGGTTTTGAAATTGATCAATTGATGTGTTGTAGGCTGAAAGGACGAAATCCGAAGACCAACCCCCAGCCAAAAGGCGGCTGTCTTCGGCTGTTGTTAAGGTCAGCAAATCCCTATAATCTCAATCTTAGACTTTATTTTATATGGGTTTTGATTGAATTTTGGCTGATTTGGGAATGAAGCTTGAGGATGGGGAGATAATTGAGGACGCTGCGGAGGCCGTGGAGGAAGCGAAAAAGAAGGATTCAACTGCGGAAGGAAGTGCTGAAGCTGTCAATGCAAGCCAGAGTGAGAAAAAGCAACCCGGTTGGTTTAGGAGTGATGGCAATCACAAACCATCTAAGATGGTGAGCTTCGAAATCTCTATAGCTTTTTGTTGAGTTTAATGTCTGTCTAATGGGACTTTTTTTGTTACTTTATGAAAAATTAGGTCAGTTATTTTTTTTTGTTTCTTATGATGTGATTAGGACCTGGAAATACCTCCGAGAGTGCATTTTCCGAGGGTATTGCCTAAGAATGAGGACCCGAGTTTGGTTAATAGGAATAAAAGAATGCTGGGTCAGCTCTTGGGGACATTGGAGGTATGCTTAAAATTGCTTCTTTTGGTTCCCCCTTCAAGGGTGGAACTTGCCTGTCTGGTTAAGTGTTTGGGATATGTTCTTTTATAATTATTCGATTCAAATGTAGCAACAGCACTTTCAAGTCACAGCATGCAGAAGAAGTATGCTGTTATTCTAAGAAGCGTATGAATAAATGTGTTGAGTTTCATAGCTTCTTTTTGGCATCATTAACACTCGATTTTGTGCAGGAAATGAGTAGTTTAATTTTCAATAGTATAACCATCTGATTGTAGTCTGTTTTGTGATTAACTTCAATCTTCAAGGGTATAGTTGTGTCTGGGATGTGGGGATATGCATTTAGTAGGAGAAAGTTACGAGATTATTAACTTGGTGTCTAAATGCAAATTACATAGTGTGAGACTGAGATCTGATGGTGTTGATCTGGTAGGCCATAGAATTGGAAGCACCTACATGGCACTATCTCATGCTAGCAGGTGCCTCTATCAGCTAAATGTTTATGTGTTTAACAAATCAGTTTAATATAAGGTTATAAGTTCAAATTAAATTCAAATGTCTTCAAATATTTTGGTAACACACACACCATATGTGTCTGTGCCACATACCATGAAATTTCTTTAGGTTACTGGTTTTATGCCTCTGTTTTTTCAATAGGAAACAATAGAATATTATTAAGATGAATAAAAAAAAGTACACGAGAGGACAAAGAGTCCTCAAGAGACAACTAAGGCGAGAATAAAAGAGAACCTAAACAAGTACAACAAGCCTAATGGTCTTTAATAAAAAATAAAGGAATTCCTTCAAAATCTTTAGAAGTGGACACCCAAAGAGATAACATGTAATATATTTTATCCCATAAATCTTCTCAAAGAGCCTTCTTTCCCGAAAAAATTCGTTCATTTTTTTACAACCAAACAACCCAAAATAAAGCTAATACCACGCATCTCCATAGAACCTTGGCTTTAGTACATGAACCAAAGCAATTAAAATTCATACTAAGCACCAAATCACAATTACGTGCAGTCACCGAAGGGATCCCAACAACACCATTGAGCCTATTCCACAACTTCGAGACAAAAGGAAAATGAATGAATGAATTATCCAAACACTCCGTTTCTATCTTGCAACTGATGCACTATTGCGGTTGAAGAGAAAATACGGCTTCCTTTTTGGAGCAATTTATTGGTATTTAGTTTCTTACGTGCAATCAACCATTCAAAAACTTTTACCTTCAAATGTATCTTACTCTTCCAACACAAAAGAAGAAGGTTCAAAGAATGGAAGATAACGTTATCGATCAAGGAATCAATTTTTTTTGCAGAATACTGACCCGAAGAAGAAATGCTCCAACTTCTTCTATCTAAGGAATCTTGTCTCAAACCGATGTTTTAAAGGAATACCCAAGAGAGGACAATTCATCCACTTCTTTGTCTCTTAAATTTCTAAAGAAGTAAAAGTTTTAACTAGTGATAGAGGAAGACGAGGAAACCATACTATCAATTGATGAATTATGAGATCTGGATAACTGATACAAATGAGGAAACAAGGATGCAAATGAAGACTCTCCTCCCAAACATATTGCCAAAAGCGAATCTTCTTCTCATTGTCAATAACATACTTAATGTGTTGTGAAAAAAGGGGCAATCCTTAAGAAATGAATTTCCAAAATTCCAAATTGGTTTTTTTTTTTTTCTTAATCTTCCCTTCCCTGGTTGGGTATTTTTAAAATTTTTTATCTTTCAAAGGAGTAATGGGAATACTTGATTCCTAATGGGACTATTTTGTCAGCAAAGATTCCCAAATGATTGTTGTCGTGTTTTTCTTGCATGAGAATCAAATGATGGCAATTGCCCAAGTAAGGTAAGTTGTTGACAACCAAGAAACAGACTGTCATCTGTAGTGGCCAACTTGAAGCCTGATGTGTTTAATTGGAGATGTCTGTTAAATATTTGTAGAAACTGTTTCGTTTTGATGTATATATATATATATATATATATATATATATATGATGGATGCATTGATGTGTTGATAGGCATTCTCAATATTGTTTGTAACTCCTAAATATTTCACGAGAACTGGAGCAGAAAATCTTGAGCACGAGCCGTTCCAATATGTATATGGACTAAAATGTGAAACAGTTTGAAGAAACCTTAGCTATGTCAATTGTCCTTAAATTTAGTTGTTCTTGAATCCTCTAGATTATAGAATGACTTGGTATGACACATTTGATTGATCTTGCCAAGGGGCTTAGAAATTTGTTTATTGTCTCCCAGCCATGCTGTTAGAGGTGTTTTGGCTTTTTTTGTTTAGTTGCATTTGCTGCCTATTTCAGTGATTGCTCAATTGCCTTAAAATTTTTGAAATTTTTATTTGGTATTCATGAGGTCTTCATCTTGGAAAATGCTAGCGGTCTCCTTATAAACTTTTAGTCAATGAGAGTGTGAAAGAAAGCTCCTCAAGTGTTCATGACTTGAGTCAATCTAGAGTATACGGTGCGCTTATGAGGTCAATGATATATGTTCTTTTAGTTCCCTCAAGATCTCAATCAGTGAGAAATGCTAAGGGTCTTCTACGTGCCTGTTAAGGAGTTAATGGAGATTAATACCCATCCATCAATTCGTTAAATTCTTTGTGCATTAAGAACAATATCTGCACACTTCTTACTGGCGTCTATGGTAGAACCAGTTGAGTCCATTATCTCTAACTGACGAACTGAGCTACAGAAATCTAAGTGCAGATCCTGTTAATTTTTGGAATCAAAATCATTGAAGCTACATGAAGATTCAGTTATTGTATCTTAAATTCGATGGTTTTAATGAACAAAAAGTGAAATAAATTAAATTGTTGGGGATCTAATCGATCTAACCATTGATTTACAGAGTAGATGGTAGGATCTTTCTGGAATTTCTCAGTCTTTGGAATAATTTCTTCTTAGTTCCCTATGGGCAGCATGTTATTTTTCACCCAATTTAATTAAATTTTTTTATCGAAGGAAGGTATTCGATTAAAGATGTGGAAATAATAGATACTAATTATTACCAATAACATCTGCCATCTGTTTTAGAAATACTAGGTCCTAGTTATTACCTGTAAAGTTTGTTGTCTATTTGATTCTTAGTCTTGTTTATATATTTACGGAGAAGTAAGTTCTTTTCTTTTTTTTTTCCTATTTTAATTGTGTACCATGTTCTATACTTAGTCCTCTGGCTAAAATGTTTCTCTTGCCAGTCATTTTATTTTTACTTTTGGAAAACTTTCAGAAATTCAGGAAAGAAGACATGAAACTTTCTGGCACAGAGGCTTACATGCGGAGGTCAGATTCTTTGAAAAGAGTGAGTATTTGTTAGCTTCTGCACTTACCTTCTTCCATTCTGTGTAATTTTTATTATGTTTTTCAAAAATGAAATTTTGGTGGCGGGTATTTGACAAGAAATATAATAAGTGGCATGGCTCAAGGAGCAAAAGTGTCCCGTAAGAAATCATTTTGTAGTTTAGGCATTCGGCGGTCTCTTAATGTTGAAGCAATTTGACCTCCAAATGGAAATACACTTAAACTTTTGGGTGAAATTAAGTGTCTCCTAGACATAGCATGCGCGCAACAAGGAAAGATTGTCATAGTGCACTTTGCTCTCAAGTAGGATACTAGATTGAAATAAAACTTGGGGGAATGTTTACACACAAGGAAGAGTTTCATCTTCTCTTTTTTGAACGTCCTGTTTGCTATGTCCTCATGAAAATGTGTGTGTGTGTGTGTGAGAGAGAGAGAGAGAGAGGCTTCCATTGTGGATATAGCGTTGTGTGGATCTAGATCTTCCGAGTGTAAAAACAGCAGGCAAGAGTTGCATAATTAGCTGTAGGATTGACACTGTGAGGACCGAACTGTCTGGTTTGTCATATTGGTATCCCTTTGCGGATATTTTCCTGTCTTTTGAGTTCTTTGTGATCTTTATTTTATTTTAGCGGTTGGATTTTATGTTCCTTTTCTTCTTGCACCAAAAATCATATTAATACTGAAATAATCATCTCAAAACCTTATATAGGCTGAGCAAAGAGCACGTGAAGAAAGTGAAAAGCTGAGGCAACAGCAACGTGAACAACTTGCAGAAAAGCGGAAGAGAGATCTGGTTTGTTGTTTCTATTCATATATTCTTTGAATCTCTGTGGGTGAACTTAAGATTGCCACTTATGTGAGGATACAGATTGAGTTCTCTAAGGCTGTTTTTGTGTGTTACCCTTTGGATCAGACTCTACGAGCACGTGTTGCTGCTAAGGCAGAAGAAAAGGAGTTGGAATTGCTGTTTCTTCGGTGGAGTGAGCACCACAAAAAACTTGGCAGTTTTACCAGGTAAATCATACACCAAACTTCTTTTCTTTTTGGCAGTAAGTAGATAATAATTTATTCTGAAAGGAAAGATAACAGCATGATCGCTCAGTAGATGCCCCCGAGCTAGGCAAACAAGGGAACGAATCTCAGAATTTTGAGGCTTTACAAACTTGACCCAACGGAAAATTAAGATGGTTAAATCTTCAAATTGGGTGCGAAATTTTGTTTCATCTGCTGTGCTGACACTCCCCCCCCCCCCCCCCCGCGGCGGGTGAAT